AAAAAAAAAAGACATATTCAATTAAAAAAGGCATAGCACAAAGTATTCATGCACGGTCGCAGGAAGGATCGCACATAAAAAATTACATGCTAGAACTAGACCTTTTTGGTGATTGTGCTTGAAAAAAAAGTCCTGAACTAGACTCGGATTTCTTATCGAACAAATACATAACAAAAAAATCATACTTACAAAGCTCCTAACCAAACCCCTTCCTTTGTAGAGCCCGTGAATTGTTAAGCCTCCGACAGAGGCAAGTGAAGTTGGCGAACCCAAGAGCTCACATTGACGGGAAGGTTTGGGCCATATGACGGGCAACTATCTCCTGTGGTTCCGAGAGGACTCGGCTATTAGTTAGTGCCCTCTTAAATATCAAGTATAAAAGAGAACCTGTTAATTGTTACTCCATAGAGCTGGAGACTCGTTTGTGAAATTCTTGGGAGAGTAAATAAAGACCAAAACTTGGCAATTACAATGCTTTATTCTTGTATCATTAACTCCAGGAATTTCGCAAAAGCCCAAAAGTAAACAGAAAAGAGAAGCCACAACAGTACAATTCTTATTTATAACACATCCAAAAGTTACTGGCAATGCAAAACTAAGGTAACAAGTTGAGCTTACAAAACTAGTTAGGGCTGAGACTGTATTCTTCGATCTTCTCCCACGATTTGAGGCTTTTGTCTTCAGTGTCTGTTTTATACAATGCAAGGCGAGATATCCGGAAGCTCAAGTTGCCAATGCTCTCATCAAGTATATAAGCCTTTTCTTGAGCTTTCTTCTTTTCTTCATCTGTCAAATCGCCATAAAGCAGGCTCGCATGAGGCATATACGCTGCACGATCACAAAAATCACACCTTCAACAATTGAAAACCTAGCTCATCGTCCCCCCTCTCAAGGCAAGGAAGAATATTCACAACAAAAAAGTGAAAACAAGGGCGAAAGGCTGCTCAGGCAAGTAATCCCATAATACAAACTCAAAGAAACATATGTGAAAAAATCAAACATCCATATTTTAAGAAGGTGGACATTCACATATTCAACTAGAGTTGATTCTCTTTTTCAGCCAGGAAAAGCTGGTCCATATATTTCAACTTTCTGATTCTCCAAAGAACCTCATATACCATATCCCAAGTTTCAGCAACATGAGTTTTTCAGTTTAGCTTTCAACAATCGGGAGGAGCTTAAAATTCCAAAACAAGCTAAATCAAGACAATTGTCGAGTTCTATATTCCAATCGAGCTAATTGCTATCACGAAGGTAAATGTTGATTTGCCACTGGAATGAGTGAGGATGGAGTGTTATCCTCCCTACCGTCTATTTTATATTATTAATATTTTCGGATAAGAATCCTCACTTCTAATAATGTAAGAAGATGATGCAGAAACAGAGAGAAATTGTAGCCACAAAAGAGGCAAATGCTATTTGTGACTAAATTATAAAAACTGAAGTGCCAGAGATCCAAAGAAAGAAAGAACGTATAACTTACGACTTGAGCTGTTGTAACCAAAGTTGCTGCAGCAGCGTGCACTAGCCTCCACAACCTGGTAGAAAGAATTTCATATCAATGATTTATCCTCAGCAACTCGAGCAAAGTGATCATACATTAAAATAAAGCATGATAAAGAATAAGAAACTTTCATAATCCTTAAAAATGATTTTACTTTTTCCTTTTCAACTAGTTGCAAGATAGAAATTTATGCTGATAGTTTTGCCTGTTAAACCTTAAGGTTAAATGGATTTAACTCTGGCATTCTTAAACCCTTCAAAGGAGAAAATCCTTAAGCTTTTGTTCCAATAGGCATTCGATACTTCTCTTTGTTTCTAGTTTTCCTGTTTAAAGCCAAAACCATGCACTATGTCAATATAGAGCGTTCTTACTGATGAAATACGACAAAAATATAGGATGCGCTCCATTCAAGGGACAGAATAGTGAAGAAATGAGAAGCAAAAACAAGAAAGTAACAATCACATGACACTACAAAAATTTTCATCCCTCCTTGTACTATGGCCCTTTTCATTTTTTTTCTATTAAGTTGGTATAATTTTTTTCTGATGAAACTCTCCACTTCTCATCGTGGAGAAGATTTTAGCATGTCTAGGTCTATAAGACTTATGTCTTCTTGAATCCTAAATGTATGTCTTTAGTTCACTTCTTCTGTTTTCTTACCATGATTTAGAGGGATTCTTAACTTATCAACACCCCAAAAAAAAGGATTTTCAACCCGAGAACACCAAATCAATATATTACACCTCCTTTAGTTGATGCTTATATCTCACTCTGCCCCTATAACTAACATCTGTTCGGACAGATATCACCTCTAGGTAGTGACAATTAGGTCCAACCAACAATATTGCTATTATCAATTAGAACTTACAGATAGTAACAGGACTCCTCTAATCTTATACACGATCGGAAGGTCAAATAATTCTTGATCAGAAGCTGAGGCATGCTTTGAGCACGTTTCAATGGGAAGCTCACAATGTAACGTTTCGATGGGAAGCTCACAAAAGGACTATTTGGTCCAACCAACAATACTGCTGTTAAGGATTGATCAGCGGGACTCCTCTAATCTTACATGATTGAAAGGTCGAAAAATTCTTGATCACTAGCAGAGACATGTTATTGGATTTTTGCTATCCCTATATCTAAATACTGTGTTATTGGATTAATTACTTTTTCAATACAAGAGTTCTGCACATCTTATGCAATCCTCCTCTTATGTCATCTTATACTCCCTAAAAAGTCTGATCAACAGCTGAAAAGTCTTCCAATGAAGAATATAGAGTACAACCATTGCCCTCTTATCCACATCAAAATACTACTCCTATTTAACTTCTTGTGCTCTATAAACCACCGAAAGGGTTAACTAAAGAATTTCCCATTAGCCACCGACTTCATTTAAGCTTTCTTCAGCCAAACAATAACTTGGAGAATTTTTTACTAAATTGGATATTCAGTTAACCCCATCAAACATGGTGAAACCTGACACGGCATTGAACAAGTTACTCCTTTCATGAGAATTTGACTGGATATCCCGTCCAAGATGTTTTTTTTAAAGCTTTTTTTCCCCTCCCCTTTGATTCCCCTTTGATCCCCCTTTGTTGGAACTATTGCTCCTTTGCCGACTCGAACCCACGACCCCGGGGTTGTAGGTAGGGGGTGCTGACTGTCGGAGCAACCCCCTTTTGTCAAACAAATTTAATGAATTGCTGGAGCTGGGAATCAAACCAAAGTCACCCAAGCATTTAAACTTTTTAACTTGTATATCCCTCTGTCCTATATTATGTGACGCTATTTAAACTTTTGAAATTCGTAGTCCAAAACATGCCACAACATTTATGTGGCTATAAAATCGTATAAACAACAACAACGACTCAGTAAAATACACAAGTGGGGTCTGGGAGGTTAGTGTGTACGCGGACTTTACCCCTACCCGACGGAGCAGAGAGGCTGTTTCCGATAGACCCTCGGCTCAAGATATAAAATCATGTCAATAAGGATAAAATAGGAAGTTTAAAGTTAAATTGTTAATATGTCATTCTCTCGACAGACTAAAAAGGAAAGTGTGTCGCATGTAACGAGATTGAGATTGTATATCCAATCAACCGATTAGTAACAGAACTTACTACTACTAACTCATTCTGTAGCAATCTTACACAGAAAATATACAAAGAATAAAACAGCATTAGAAAAATTCCAACCAAAATAAAAATTCTCAATTTTTTTTTTACCTCATTGGTTGAATGAAGCAAAAGGTAAACACACTGATAAAAGAAAGTTCCAGTATCAACTTTCTCAACAGTAGCATTATACGCCTTTACACCTTCACATCCCTTTCTGAACTTGTCACGTGCCTCATCCTCAGTCAACCGAATTGCTCCTACAACAGTCACGTGAGGCTCAAATTGGGGCCCACCAAACTCTGATCGGAGACCACCCATCAACTTTTTCAGCCTCTCCCTCACGTCTTCCGATGGAAGTGCCCACACAGAATAAACTTCCAGCTTCTTGATCTCTGCTGCTTCATTGAGTTGTACCTCCTGCATTGGATCTGTTTCAATGAGAACTGAATAGAACAGTAGTGAAATACCAATTAGGCCAAGAAAACTAAGGAATCTGATTAGAAAAATGTTATGAAGCATTAAGATGAAGATGGAGAAGAGATTGCAAAGAACCCATTTTTAAAAGTTTTGATTTTTATGGATTTATTTTATTTTAAGAGAATTTTCTATTGAGTTGAATAGTATTTGTTAGAGGTAATGGCGAGACGTTGGTGGAATTTACAGAGAGGTGGAAATGGGTATATGCTGAAGAAGTAGGAGACATGATTAGTTGTATTTTGAGCAGTTTCTTTTTCTATACTTATCCAAAGCGATAAACAACTACCATATTTTTCAACCAAAGTGACCAAAATGGTCCTTAATGTATGGGAATTGGACTATTTTGGTCCTTGATATATCTTCTTGACATATATAGTCCTCAATATATATAAAAAGGTTGACAAATTTGATCCAAAATCTTAAAACTAACATAACATTTTCACTAAAAATTTTGTTAATAGCTACTCCCTATGTCCCAATTTATATGACACTTTTCATTTTTCGATATTCAAACTTCTTAATTTTGATCATGTATTTAGATATAAGATTTCTTAAGAATTTCAAAATAAAATTTATATATTTAAAAATTACGTAAAAAATACTATAATTTACAATAATTAATAATTTAAATTTTTTTAAAGGCATATGATATAATTACGATTAAAAAATAATAATAAAAATAATAGTTTGACTCTCAAAATTTGAACACATTCACATAAATCGGGACGAAAAGTGTGTCAGGGGGAGTTAGCTAAAGGTTAAATATAACAATTGAGGTAATATGGCTAAAGGTTAAATACAACAATTGGCGTACTCATATTTATCCAATTACTCATGTCCTAAGGAGAAACTTTTTACACTAACAAATGTTTATAATCTACTTAGCATAATTTTTTACTTAAGTTATTTATGTTGAAAATCTTTCACGTAAGTTATTTACACTGAAAATCCTCAACACTATCAATTCAGTTTAATTTTGTCATAAGAATTTAGTTACTTGCCATTTTTATTTTTTATTGGAGCTTTTCGAGAATGCACATTGCCTGTATAAGATTATTGTTAATTCTCTCTAAACAGTACAAGTGCAGTGTTGGGATGACAGAGCTTCCAGTCTTGGGGTGAAGTGCACCGTTAGCAACTTTTAAGTCTGCTATTTAAAATGTATCTATAATTTACAATATATTTAAAGATTAACTAATTCATCCAAACTTCAGGATTAAGTATCCTGAATTTGAAATTCAGGACTTAGTGCCCTGAATTTTTGAGCTGCTAATTTGAAATTCGGTATTAAATTTCCTGAATTTTTAAACTGCTAATTTAAAATTCAAGACATAAGATTCGAACTTCTAGCAATTTTTGAACTTTAGGACACGATGTCCTGAAGGTTGAACTTTGATGTTTACACTTTACGATGCAGTGTCCTGAAGTTTGAGAAAATTGGCTAATCTTTAAATACATTGTAAACTGTGGATACGGATATATTTTAAACAACATGTTTAAAAGTGACTACGTGGTGTCATTTCCACTCCAGTTTTGTTTGGATAAAAATATTTGAAGTTTTTATACATAATATGTTATAATAACTAACTTATATATATGGGTGACAGTTTGAGCTCAAACTCATCCAATCCGCCCAGAGATTAAAGAGTTGGGCTACAACATTTTAGCTCATGGGTCTATTTGGGCTGAGCCCAAGTTAAATTTTTATAGCTCATTCTGACCCATGAAATAGCCCAATTACAACCCATGAAGCTCACCCCAAAACAACGGAATTTCTACCCGACTTATGTAGAAATATACTTAGTTACCACCCACCCCCACCCCCCAC